GGCCATCCCTATATGGGATCCGAACCCATGGCCTTGGTGTTATCAGCACCACACTCTCCCGAGTGAGCCACGGGCCGGCCCTATCTTGGTCTTCAAATATTCTGTTGCATGAGGCAAAATACAAGTTTCAACAGACTATGGAAGACTAACTTATGTAAAAAATACTGCTCTGGTTTGCTATTTACATACTTAGGAGAGACTGTAGAGATAAGAAAACTTAAACTAAGGCAAGGCTGTTGCCAAAATAAACCTATTTTCCACAGCTATGCCTTCTTCTGCCATGAGGTCTGTAAAGTCAATTGTGAGATAGATTCCTAGAAATTAGCTCCAGTTTTAAAAAGTAACTCATGGCTTACTGATAATTTTTCATCTTGATTTTATAGATAAAAATCATAAAAGTTATAATTTAACTATTGACAGTAGAGTATGAGAGTATTCTACATAATATTTCATCAACTTTAAGTGATAATGATAAAACGTAAAATAGTTTAAACTTTTATTTCTGGAATACTTTGTCAGAATATAAGACAGAATTCACTCTGACATGCCAGGGAGCTATCTTAAAGGGAACTGGATTTGTGCAAATACGAACATTTGCATATATGGAAATAAATGAAAATACCAACTTAATTTTTCAAAAGTTCACAACCAATAAATCTCGTGTATTCTTTCTCCTCTTTCTCAATCAGCTGAGCTCTGTGATGTTGCCGTGCACATGACAGCAAACAACAAAAGCATGATTCCCTGTCTCTCTCTACACCAAAGCCTTCCTTGTGCCTCGACTGTACTAACCTCATAGGAACTAAAAGAATCTACTTAACTGTACTCCCTCCTGTCTCTTGACTTTCTTTTACCTTTTTCTAAATTCCACTGTGGATAGGTAAGGGTATACATATACATGGCTTTAAAAATTTATTTTAACTTTTTTTTTGGCAGCTGGTCAGTACGGGGACCTGAACCCTATTTTAACTTTTTAATAGAGAAATTATCATAGTACAAGCCATAACAGAAATAATTTTTCAAAGGCAAGGACATACCTACGCAGCTGTAGATCATTGCGGTGATATGAATGACTGCTTGAAAGGACAATAACTCTGGCACAGCTAATATTTTTCACCCAGGAAAGTAGTTTTTCACAGAATGACTTTGATTTATACTTTGTATCATTAAGAGAATAAAAAGAAAATCTGAAAGTTAGATCTCAAAAGTATAAGAATATTCCACATAATATTCTATCAAGTTTATGTAATAATGCTATATAATTTATATACACTAGAATTACTAGTATTTTCATATCCACTTACTGTCCTTAAACTGAAGATGAAAGATGAAGAACAATGAATTATTTAGTATAAACTTTACAATTAAGAAATAAATTGTGAGGAATCTAGATTTCAAAAAAATCCTAGTATGATTAAGCAACGTTTCCAGGTTCTCTACTTAAGTAATATATTCTTACTTAATAACCACCACATAGCTATGTACAGGTGTTCCTGCCAGAAGTTTCTGACCTGAATCTGATTATGAGGAAACAATCAGATGAACACAGAATACTGAACATCTGGCCTTGACTCTTCAAGGGAGTCAATACGTTCCTGCCAGAAGTTTCTGACCTGAATCTGATTATGAGGAAACAATCAGATGAACACAGAACACTGAACATCTGGCCTTGACTCTTCAAGGGAGTCAATACTGTGAAGAACAGAGAGACGGCCAGTTCTACAGTGCAGGATGTCAACTAAAAAGATGTAACAGCCAAATGCAACAAGTAAACTTGACTGGATCCAGAATTGAAGACTATTTTGGGGACAACTGGGGAAATTTGAACACATTGGCTACTACTGAATAATTCATTAAATACTGATTGTCTTGGGTGTGGTAATGGTGTTGTGGTTGTGATGGAGAATGTCCTTGTTCTTGAAAGATGTATTCTGAAGTATGCAGGGGTGAAGTACCATGATGTCTCTAGCCTAGCCTACTTTTGAACTGTCTGGCACAAGGAAACTGTGTGTGTGTGTGCATGTTCACGTGTAGAGAAAGAGGTCAAGTAGGTGTGGTAAAATGTTAATGAATTAGAATATGGGTATAAAATTTTAGGGGGAAACCCATTTTACAGAAACTTTTCACTGACTGTTAATAAAATAATTATTCAATAAAATTTACTGAATTATATAAAATAAAATGCAGCTAAGGAAAGGCTAAGTTCTAAAAATAAAGGGCAGTATAGTATAGTGGTTAAAAGAGAGAGGCTCTGGAGTCAGGCTGCCTGGGTTAGGATGCTGCTCCACCTCTTGTAGAACATGTCTCGGGCAAATGGCTTAACTTTTCTGTGTTTCAATTTTCTCATTTGGAAAATGAACATAATGTTAGTACCTGCCTTATAGGATATTTTGAAGATTAAGTAGAGTAATAAAAATAAAGTGCTCAGAACAGTATCAGTGCAAAGAATCAATGCTCAACAAATATTAGCTATTTTAAAATCACCATTTCCATCTACCAAAAGTCTAATTCAGAAGTGTTTGAGTTGCTTATCTTAATTTTTAAACTTATACCAGTTAGGAAGAGAACAAAAAAGCCATGTGGCATGATGTAAAAATTTTAGCAACTCGCACTGCAAGACTTTGGATATGTGATATTGTTAATTTAAGAAAAGAGTGATTCTAATATAAATATTAAAAATAACTATAGCAACACTATTGATGATAGCCTTAAACTGGAAAAAACTGAATGCAGCAATAACGGTACAATAGATAATTATGATTTATATTACAGAATACCACACAGAAGTGAGAATGAATGAATGAACTATTGCTACTTGCAACAACATTGGATGCAACCCACAAATAGGATGTTGAATAAAGGAAGCTAGAAATAAAGGAGTATAAGCCATAAGATTCCATTTACATAATAGTGACTAGTGGGGGGCCTCTGGAATGATGATAATATTCTATTTCTTGATCTGGAAACTGGTTTCACAGAGGGTTTACTTTATAGAAATTCATCAAGCTGTACATTTATGTTTACTTTTCATGTGTACTTTTCTCCATGTATGTTATACTTCAATACAAAGTTAAGAATAAAAAGTACCAGTGTGAGGCTGGCTGGTTAGTTTAGTTGGTTAGACCACAGCCTTATAACAACGATGTCACAGGTTCACATCCCGTACCAGCCAGATGTTCCCCCCCAAAATAAAACTGTAAGAAAAAAGTACTAGGTGGTTAACCATGTGATTAAAATCCCATATTTCTGACCTCCTCAACAGATGGTACCTTAAGTCATTCCAAATAATACACTTGACATATATTTATTGAGAGCTTCTCTATGTGAGGTGGTTAACCATGTGATTAAAATCCCATATTTCTGACCTCCTCAACAGATGGTACCTTAACTCATTCCAAATAATACACTTGACATATATTTATTGAGAGCTTCTCTATGTGCAAGGCACTATTCTAAGGAGCTGGGAATGTAGAAGTGAATGACAAAATGTCACTTGTCTCAGGAAGCTTACTTTCTTTTAGAGGTAGATAATGAAAGTACGATATGCCATGTCGTGATGAGTTCTGAAGAAAATTAACGCAGGATAAGGAGACAGAAAGGGTGGTCAGGGAAGGCCTTACTGATGAGGTAACATTTAAGCAAACACTGAAGGAAGCGAGCCATCTGGCTCTCTAGGAGAAAAGCACTCTAGGCAGAGAAAGACTCTGAGACATAAATAAGCTAAATGTGTCTGAACAACAAAGGGAGCCAGGGTGGCTGGAGGTTAGACAGTGCAGAGCAGGTGTCCAGCAGAACTCTCTATGATCATGGCGATGCTCTCTACGGCAGCTGCTTACTATGTGTAGTTATTGAGAACTTGAAATGTGGCTAGTGTGAACTGAGTACTGAATTTTTAATTTTATTTACTTTAAATTAATGAATTAAAATTAAATAGCTACATGTGGCTAAGTGGCTACTGAATCAGACAAAACAGATGTAGAGCCTCATAGGTCATGGTAAGGGCTGTGAGTTCATTTTGAATGAGATGGGAAGCCACTGGAGGGTTTTGGAGAGAATAAAGATGTGACTTGATTTGGGTTTAAAGGATCATTGGTGCTGCTGTTTGAAAACAGTCTATTAAGTGTTTGTGGAAGGGGGTGGGGCAAGAGTAGAATCGGGTATGAGAGATGACAGTGGTTTATACTCAGTGGTAGCATGAGTAGTAGCAGTGGAGGATAGAAGCTGCATTCAGATATATTTTGATATATATACACATATAATTTATATGTAGATGCCACTGGTTGAAATGTAATGCAAATGGAATAAACCTACAATATTCATATGCTTAAATTTGTACATCAATGCCACCTTAACTGAGAACAGATAAGACCTGGGCGATAAGTCCCAATTCCTTTCTATATGATGATAAAATAATGGTAACATATCTGAAATATCATGAAATTCTTTTTTTCTTTTTTCTTTTTTTTTTTTTTAAAGATGACCGGTAAGGGGATCTTAACCCTTGACTTGGTGTTGTCAGCACCACACTCACCCAGTGAGCGAACCGGCCATCCCTATATGGGATCCGAACCCGTGGCCTTGGTGTTATCAGCACCACACTCTCCCGAGTGAGCCACAGGCCGGCCCGTCATGAAATTATTTCTCCATAGACTCAGATCTTTCTTAACTGAACATACAGTAAAACAATAGAAATGACTTTTGAATCTTAATTCTTAATGATACTAACTTGGTATTTTCTCATTACATTTTACTTTAATAAACTTAAAAAGGCAAATATACTAACCTTAATAAAAATGGATCTTAACTGAAGAGCCACTAGCTTCCTTGAAGGCAATGAATATACTACGAAGACAAGAAGAAAATGAAATCGTACAATAGTTAAAATGAAGGAGTTATACAAGTTGAAATTACTAATATTATAAATAAAAATTGAATTATAACTTTTACATCTAAATATTTTCAATAATTAAAATATAGAACATATGTACTTTATCAGTTGGTTAAAATAAAACATTTTAGAAGTACCTCAAAATGCACCAGTGGGTTTTACTCTATGGAATACATTAATTTCTGAAAAGTTAACTGTGAGAAAATATCAAAAATTATTTTTCTTCTGACTTTAATTGTAAACCCAGAGAAGTATTCCCCTTGAAATTTCTGGTAATTATGACAAATAAAATCATCCTTAAGAAAGTTAAACTTTTTGGTTTCTGATATTCTCCCCTCTTCTCTCCAGAGAACAGCAACACTCCTTGGGATTAACAGAAGAAATAGTAAAATGTAGGAGAATGTTAGCCATATAATAAATAGGGGCATTTGTGTTCTTTAGGGGTTTCTGAAACAACTGAAATACATGCATATTTTTCTGGTTGTCAATATGTGTCCATTTTTTCTGGGAAAAGAATCCATAGCTTTCATCAGATTCTATAAGGGGCCACTCTAGAGATGCTTAAGGCGCCCCTGCTCAGCTTCACCTCTAAGAATGAGAAGTTTTTGTATGAACCAAGGACAAAATACAGTCTCTAAGGACACAGGATGAAGCTACTGTGCTAAACGGGAAGTTTTTGGTTACTATAAACAGATTACAAATAACCCTAGATTGGGAAAATCCTTTGGTGGATCAGGTTTCTCCTATTATAGGTCTTTTGGGGTATTGTCTCCTTATGGCTGATGTGATGTGGTGTGATTGGAGGCCGTGCCACACTCAGCAAGTCTAGTGACACCAGGTATATCTGGGCCAAAGGAGGCTAGAGCAGGAAGTTTAGGAATTAGGGAAAAGGACATAGACTTAGAGAAAAGCAACAAAGGAATAGGCCACTCAGGCCTCTAATCCATCTTTGACATACACATCTAGTCAAATTCAATAGATCTAGGTGTGCAAAGTATATCTCTGTAGGGGGTGGGCATGGAAAACTTTAAAATATAAGATATACCATCTTCAGTAATAGCTATACTCACATTCTCCATCAGTATCCATGCAACTCTTTTTTGTTGTTGGGATCTTGTTTCCTAGCACTTTCTTCTGCTGATGTGATACAATATAAAAGCAACATTGCCTTTTCTATATTCTAGCCAAAAACATTTACCTTATATGTAATCAAGCTTTCAGACATAACTCCAGTTACAGAAAATACAGAGGCTAGAGGAACAAGCAAATGACACCACAAGGAAGTAATAAGACAAATCGCAGAAAGCATTCTATAGAACAACGGGTCTAGTCTTCAATAAATCAGTTTTGTGATGAAGGGAAAAAGGGACTACTCTATAGCAAAAGAGATTTCAAGGGCAGAACTATGGATCCTGGTTTGGACGAACTAACTTCAAATGACATTTTAGGGTTAACTAGACCAATTTGAACATGGATAAGGTACAGGAGAGTAAGAAATTACTAATTCTGTTAAAAGTAATAGTTATTTTAGTTATGTAAGAAAATGTTCTAGGGCCGGCCCGGTGGCGCACTGCTACAGTGCGCCGCTTGGGAAGTGCGGCGGCGCTCCCGCCGAGGGTTCGGATCCCACATACAGACCGGTTCCCGCTCACTG